TTTTATCATTTTGAATAATTTAAGTAGTATTGGTTTGAGGCCTTCTTTAAATGTCTGGTAGAATTCTGCTGTAAATCCATCTGGGCCTGGGCTTTTTTTAGTTGGGGGGCTTTGTATTACTTTTTCAATTTTCTCATATCTTATGGGTCTGTTTAAACTGTTGATCTATTCTTGGTTTAACTTTGGTGGTTCCCACGATTTTAGATATCCATCTATTTCTTTTAGATTTTCAAACTTAGTAGCATATAGGTTTTTAAAATATTCCCCTATAATCATCTGGATCCTTTGGGTGTCTGTTGTGATGTTTCCCCTTTCATCTCTGATTTTGTTGATTTGGACTTGCTCTTTCTTTCTTTTGGTTAACTGGGCTGAGGATCTGTCTATCTCGTTTAGCTTTTCAAAGAACCAGTTCTTAGATTCATTGGTTCTTTGTATTATTTTCTTTGTTTCTATTTCATTAATTTCTGCTCTGATTTTTGTTGTTTCTTCTTTGGCTGGGTTTGGGTTTCATTTGTTCTTGTCTTTCATTTGTTTCATTTGTTCTTGTCTTTCCAGTCTTCAATTGCAGTGTTAGCTCATTTATTTGAGCTCTTTCTAATTTTTTAATGAATTTATTTGAGCTCTTTCTAATTTTTTAATGTGAGCACATAGATCTATAAACTTCCCACTTAAGACTGCTTTTAAAGTGTCCCAGAGGTTGTGTTGTGTTGTATTGTCCTTTTTGTTGAATTACAGGACTTCTTTTATTTATTTCTTAATTTCTCCTTTGACCCACTCATTGTTTAGGGGTGTGTTGTTCAATCACCATGAGTTCATGTAGTGACTAGGGGCCAAGAAGCCAGGGCACCGTCAGTCTTCAGCCGCCAGGCCTAGAAGGTCGTTCACTGAACCCTGTAAATGAGGCTGGGTCTGCGAGGTAAGTGGCCTTCCGTGGCATTGCAAAGGACAATCAACTCTCCAGTGACCTTGTTGCCCACAGGAAGGACAGGGTCCGGGTGGTGGCTGTGGGTTAGGGCATTGTCTTACCCAATGTCCAGTCACTCCGCACTTGAAGCAGGGTCCTGGCAGATGTTGTTGGGCCCCATTGGTGTTCGAAGTGTTCTTGGGAGGAGCCCTTAGGACTGCAGCCATAAGCTGGTACTTTTGCTTGGACAGGGTAAGCTTGTCTGCCTTCTCCTGTTCCTCTCGGTTATAAAATACTTTAAATGCCGTGTCCAACAGATCTCTCATGGGGGTTTCAGGGCCCTTGTCTAAGCACCTAAGTTTCCTTCTAATATCTGGAGCTGATTGTAAGATAAAGTGGTGGTGAAGCATAAGCTGTCCCTCTGCAGACTCTGGGTACCAGAGCATCAGTGAGTCTGTCCATAAACTGAGCTGGGGTTTCAGCAGAGACCTGAGTAATCAATCTAAGCTTTTCAAAGTTAACTACCTTGGGGGGTGAAGCTCTCTGAAGACCTGTCAGGAGGCAAGTGATCATGTGGTCCCTGGCTGCTCTA